CGACCATGCACTTCTCATGGTCAAACCTAAGAGCAAGGTCGAACAGTACAAGGTCTACCGACGGGTGGGTAATTTTCCTATGTTTCAAACTACTGATGGAGTACTAAGCATCGAGCAGCCAATCCCACTGGAGTTACTTCTGGTCTCCGCGCCTGATGAGTTCGCCACTCAGAAGCCTCAGAACAACCGTCAGAAGCAGCTGCTCAGGAACGCCCCGCACGCGCCAGTCATCCCAGTCAACAACACCAAGGGTGGTTTCTCGATCACGTTCGTTCACTTGGGACGCAAGTACTACCAGATCACCCTGTGGGCGAGTACCTACGTCAGCCAGCGGAAATGGATGGAGAACATCCAGAAGCAGCAAGATGCTATGCGCGAGCGTAGCAACGTCTTCGAAACTCTCACACTAAACGAAGGCTTCTTCGTCGGGGTGAACAAGGTTAACTGCGCCGCACCATTCAGTACGTCCTTCTCATATCATACATTACTGTGCTACTGACATTATAAAATAGACCAAGGGCGGAGAGCTGTCTACGGTACCAACGATGGCATTTACCTTTCCAACCTCATGGAGCAGAACCGGGAGCCGGTGAAGGTCCTCGCTTTGAAGGATGTCGAGCAGGTTGACGTCCTCGAGGACTATCAGCTGTTAATAGTCCTGTCTGGTACGTATAGACGTTCCCTGCATCCTTGACATCTCTGACACGTAGTTACAGAGCGTCAAGTCATCACGTTCCCCCTCGACGCTCTAGACCCCATGGATCCCCTATCAGGTCTCAAGCGTGCCAAGCGGATAGCATCGCACATTTCGTTCTTCAAGGCCGGCGTGTGTGTTGGGAAGACCCTTGTCTGTGTCGTCAAGTCAAGTCCGCTGTCAAGTACCATCAAGGCGCTTGAGCCCATCGACCAGAACGTCCGCGGGCAAAGAAAGCCCACTTTCCGCAAGTTGCTGCAGGGCGGCAATGATACGCTGCGCGTATTCAAGGTAGGCAATGCTGTTACGATGTAGCGATGAGGACATGCTCACGATCGCGTCTAGGAGTTCTACATACCTGTGCAGTCGAGCTCGATACACTTTTTGAAGACAAGGCTCTGCATTGGTTGCACGAACGGCTTCGAGATTGTTGACCTGGACACATTGGATACCCAAGGCCTACTTGACCCTGCCGATCAGTCGCTGGAGTTCGTCCACAAGAGGGAGAACCTCAAACCGCTTGCCATCTACCGTATAGAAAACGAATTTCTTCTGTGCTACGATGGTGAGCTCTATATCGCAGAATGTGGCACCATCAACTGAAGTCGGTCGCAGAATTCGCATTCTATGTCGACAAGGCTGGATGGCGATCCCGCAAGGAGTTCATGGTCTATTGGGAGGGAAGTCCGTCAGGATTCGGTGAGTAGGTTACTTTGCAGTGTATCCACCGGCTAACGGGCGTGCCTTTACAGCTTTGCATTATCCATATGTCCTGGCGTTCGAGCCGACGTTCGTGGAGATTCGCCACGTGGAGACGGGCGCGATGTCGCAAATCATCCAGGGCAACAACCTCCGCTGTCTCTTCGCCGACACACCGCCCTCGACGACGAACGGCGCGAACAACTACTACAACGTGTACCAGCAGGGCTACGGCTACAACCCCTACCAGTCCAGCGACGGGTCGCGGAGCTCCACAAACTCCATGAACAACGGGTTCGGCGCACCAGGGGCGCCCGCCGCCTACCCCAACCCATACGTCGCGCGACCACCGCAGGGCGCCGGACGGGACGAGATCCTCATGGTCTCTGACGACCGGGTGATGCGACTGCAAATGACTGCGACGGCGCAAGCTTCGATATTCGGGAACTGACCCGGAGCTGCGGATGCATACGGCCTTTGACGACGCGACGACCTGTTGTATATTGCTTTCTTCCCCATCTATCCCATTGCCCCCTCTTGCTGACGACCGCACACACACCACATACCACTTGAGCTTGATCGCCCGTCCTGCTTTGCCTTGCCCACTCCACCTCCTCCCTGCCCCCGGTCCCGTACCCGATTCCCCGCCGCCCCCGGGCACTCTCCTTCGGCTTCGCCCGCGACCCGTGCGCCCTTTCATACGATATTGGCCCGTAGTATCTTGTGTTGACGTGCCGTCTGTTGTTATCTGTGCATCCATTCCCAGTCCTACCTACACAGCATATATATCCTAACCTGCACTTGTATCCGAGACTCATCATCTGTTATGATACGCGTAGCTAACATATATTCAAGCATAGAAGGCAACTCAAGGCGTCGGGGATGCCCGCAGGGCCACAGGGAAAATCATGAAAACCCATTGATTCCCAAGGTATGGTGTGTGGATGTAATATTGTGCCCGGGACTGTATCTACTTGTAAATGCTCTTCGTTCACGACAACTGTCATAGCCTCGCCTTCTCGCTAGAAGGCCGTTGGGCGTGGAGGTCGTACAAATCCTTGGCGGCGCGCTCGAGCTCGGCGCAGAATTCAGCGTTGGGCATCTCAGTGCGCGACGTGATCGTGAACTGGAGGTAGTCGTCGAAGCCGGTCATGTAGGCCACGCCGAAGCCGTCCGGGACAACCTACAATCACGGACGTCAGTGATCGATATCCATGCGTATTAGGATCGACACTGACCTCGCCCCAGCCATACGGCCCGAAGTTCTTGGAGAAGATCGCGGACGTGCTGAGCACCCAGTAGCTCGAACGCTTCACGACGGGGTTGGCGAACACCTCGGGCATCTGCTCGCCGTCCTTCACGAGAAGCTTGAGGCCTGCGGTGTGGCAATGAGCATCTCATTGGTAGTATCGAGGAAAAGTTGGCGCACCGAGCAGATGGCGGTCGATACCCAGCCCGTTACCCGCAGCCCGCGCAGAGGCGCCGTGCGCCTTGACCGCGTCCTTGAACAGCTCAAGCTTGCGCGTTGCACCCGCGCTCGCGTCATCCATACTCTGCACCCACGCGTCCGACTGCGAGGTCACGACGCGGATCGCCTCCGTGCGACCCTTCAGAAACTTACGCACCGACGCAGCCTCGTACGTGCCCCCCTGGCGTTTCTGCCCGCGCGAGCGCAGCAGACGTGCGTACGCGAGTTGCACGACCATTTGCGTCCACGAGTCGGGCGACACGCCAAACGCCTTGATCGCCGCCTTGCCGTACGGCGTGCGCACGACGTTCAGCGTCTGCGACGTGACGAGCGCGGTGGCGGCCTCAGTCGCGGCCGTGATCGCGCGCTCTGTCTCGGCCGAAACGTGCCAGTCGAGCGGCTGGGGCAGCGCGCCCTCGACAGACGCGGACGAGGGGGAGGCGAAGTCGGGGGAGGCGATGGTGTTCAGCACGTGGTCGCAGAGCGCGACAGTGGGCGTGCCGTCCATGACGGAGTGCTCGCCGACGAAGCCGGCCTCGCCGTCCGCGAAGATGATGAACTGGCACGGCTTGTCCATCCAGCGATTCCGGAGGCCGAGTTGAGGGAGCGCGGTCCCGGACTGGGGGACGACCGCGCCGTGCCACAAGTTACGGCTGTGGTCGACGAGCGATGGCGCGGTCTCGGTGTCGAGACACAGGACGAATGCCGCGGAGTGAATGGTAGTGATAATGTCTGCGTTGTGCGCGTCCGCAGCGAGGGCACGATAGTCCTGCAAGATGTATGTCGGTCAGAAAGGGGTATGCAGAAGGTAAAGGTTGCTGCGTACTTTCGCCCACACATCCCGATGTGACGCGGTTAGTACACCAATGCCCGGGTATTCCTTGGTGGTGTTGTCGTAGATATGCTGAATCTGTCTGAGGGTCCAGTATTAGTCCCGTGGCGCCCTTGTGAGCAAGTCGGTGCAAGGCTACCTCTGCAGCTCTTCGAGCGAGAGCAGCTGCCCGTTTTGCCATGGGTCAAGCTTCCAGACGCGCCCGCGATGCAGGACCGCAACATGTCCGGACCGGCCCCGATCGCCTGCCTTGCCGTGGCTCACGCACCAGTCGACCTCGGGGCCAGGAACTCGACAGCAGTCGAACATCCACCTGGAACAAATATGAGCCATAATGATATAGGTCAAATAGAAGGGAGACGCGCGTACCTCCACGAGTCCATGCATATAGGGCCCTCCTTAGTTGCTTCTGGAGGGACTTCGCCAAGCTTAAACTGTTCGCGGAACAGCATCGCGGCACGCACAATTGAAGCAGCGCGGTGTAGAGCCGTTTGCGGTAGGTGCGCCGGGTGTTCTTTGAAGCCATCTGTATCGCGTCGTCTAACGGTACCGCTGCGGCCCACAGCGCAGATCACTTACAGTAGTAAGAAACATTCACAACGACCTATGAACTGTCAGCTCCCGCTCGTGTGCCGGGCCAGTACTCTGTGAGCTCACCGACTCGCGGAAGCCCATGTACGCCCAGTCGTCCCACCACTCCTCGAGCCAGTGCGAACGGCTAGGCTCCTCGGCGCGGGCCTGCAGCCTCTGCTGGAGTTCGTGCGCATACTCGCTGGAGGCGAACTGATCGACGGCCTTGAGGGCGTCGGTGTACTCGTCCTCGGACCAGGCGGAAGGCCTGATGGAGTCCTTGAGCTTGGCTAAAGTGTCTGCCAGTGCGGGGACAGGCAAACGCGGGAGCGATGATTGGGCCGCGAAGGTCGGCCCGGGAAGCGGCGGGGGCGCGAGCTGCTTCCACTGCGGGGGGCGGGTCGCTGCGAAGGCGTGGCTGGACATCGTGCGCGACGCTGACCAGGCAATGCGGGGCAGTCTGGGGGAGAACATGGACGAGCAGGAGGAGGAGGAGGGCTAGATGTACGAAGCCGCATGCACTGGTGCTGCCACTATGTACCGGCTCCGGGGACCACACGTGAATATGTCAGTAATTCACCGGCGTCCCTGGCCTCGTCCCGCCACAAGGCCACACGGTAAGGCACAGAATATTGAGAGCAAAAATAGGCATGAAATATACGAACGATAACACAAGGATAACGACACATGGAGAGGCTTTGGGACATGGTGCAAAAATAAAGTAGCCACCCTTACAGGGGCCTGGCCGGGAATTGAACCCGGGACCTCCTCCAAATGTCAACAGACCCTAAGAAGGAATCATACTACTAGACCACCAGGCCGTGAAGACCGAGAGAAAACATGTAAATCCGACCATCAAAGGTATCATCATCTCGACGCGTCACTGAATCTCAAGCTTACGCGTCGGACGCGCGTCTTGACCTGCATTACACCGCCAACTTGTTCCTCTCTCTCCAGCCACTCTGCCCAGCATGAGCTCAGCACAAGCTTCAACATCAGCCAGTACGATGGACCAAAGGAGAAAGGACGCCCTGAAGGGCTATAGAGATGTACGTGCCTGCCGAAGCACGGAGGTCCGCGCAACTTACCCGTCCACCAGAAAATGCGGCAACACGAGCAATCGAGCGAGAACTTGAAGAGCTGTGAGCGAGAACTAGCACTGTCAGCTATGGCAAGGGGACTAACATGCGGCAGTGAGGTTCTCGCTGAAGGATCTTGAGTTGGACTTCGAGAAGACCGAGGACGACATCAAGGCCGTGCAGTCAGTAGGGCAGATCATTGGCGAGGTCATGAAACAACTGGACGACGAGCGATGTGAGTTGTACTAGCAAAGTTATGTTATACGAGCTGTACATACTGACATGCACGGACGCGCCCCATAGTCATTGTGAAGGCCTCCTCGGGACCTCGTTATGTCGTGTCCTACCGCCCCACGCTACCGGTCGACAAGCTCAAGATGGGCACCCGTGTCAGCCTGGACATGACCACCCTCACCATCATGCGCATACTGCCCCGCGAAGTCGACCCGCTCGTGTACAAGATGAGCCTGGAGGACCCCGGAGGCGCGAGCTTCGCGGGCATCGGTGGTCTGGGAGAGCAGGTCCGAGAACTGCGGGAGGTACGCGTGCGCGAGTTCGCGTCCCGCTACAACTACTCACGCTCGCGGCTTGCCTATAGGTCATCGAACTGCCCCTGCTCAACCCTGAGCTGTTCCAGCGCGTGGGCATCAAGCCCCCGAAGGGCGTGCTCCTGTACGGCCCCCCGGGCACGGGCAAGACGCTGCTTGCGCGCGCGGTCGCCGCGACGTTGAACACGAACTTCCTCAAGGTCGTCTCCTCCGCGATCGTCGACAAGTACATCGGCGAGTCCGCGCGTGTCGTGCGCGAGATGTTCGGGTACGCGCGCGAGCACGAGCCGTGCGTCATCTTCATGGACGAGATTGACGCTATTGGTGGGCGGCGGTTCTCCGAGGGTACGAGTGCGGATCGTGAGATTCAGCGCACGCTCATGGAGGTGAGCTCAAGCATCCGTCTGGGAGACCGCTCGAACGCGTGCTGACCGGGGTTTGGTGCAGTTGCTGAACCAGATGGACGGCTTCGACTCGCTGGGACGGACAAAGCTGATCATGGCCACGAACCGTCCCGACACGCTCGACCCTGCGCTCCTTCGGCCAGGTCGTCTGGACAGGAAGATTGAGATCCCGCTGCCTAATGAGCAGGCGCGACTGGAGATCCTCAAGATCCACTCGCAGCCCGTAAACAAGAGCGGCGAGATGGACTACGAGGCTATCGTCAAGGTACGTGCACTACGCGTGTTACAGCCGTATGTGGGGTCTAACTAGTGTCGTAGCTGTCCGACGGCTTCAACGGCGCCGACCTGCGCAACGTCATCACGGAGGCGGGCATGTTCGCCATCCGGGATGACCGGTACGTTCGCTCGTGCTTGTGAAGCTGATGCTCTAGTGCTGACCCAGCGCTTTTGCAGTGAGTACGTCATTCAGGAAGACATGACGAAGGCGGCACGGAAAGTCGGGGAGGCAAAGAAGCATGAGAGTAAGAAGTGTCCCTTGTGTTTCGATGTGTGTCCAATACTGACCTCACACTCCCTTAGCCAAGCTCGAGTATTCTGCATAGTCGGCATAGATGCCTTTGCTTTGGGACGTGTTTTGTATCATACCATGCATTCTGTACTCGGACTTCTCTACATGGTTTCTACCTCAAGCGAGTGCAACCATGCCCTGCAGCATCATTGTGGTAGTATCGTGCAATTCGAAGAGGTGAAAACGTGCATCTACCCCTGCACCATAGATGGGTAAGATGCATGATGATATGTCGCAGCACTTGGCCGATGTGAACATTTCAGTAGCAACCCAACATCGAATTTGTATGCAAGCTCATACAGTACATTTGTTTTATATGTGGGTCCAATGAACTTCTTGACCTACAGTGTGCCATAGGGTTAGGGTCAGGACGGTGAACTGACATGAAAAAAGGCCTGCCCAGCCCGAGGGCCGAAGCAGGACAGGGAAATATTGAGACGGTGCACGAGCCGAAGCCCGTACAAACCGCGAGCGCCCCCTGAGGACATGGTCGCCGTGCTATGAGAGGCCCCCGTGGCCCACGAACCCTGGTACATGAAGGGGCCCGTGCCATCAAGGTAAGTATGACTTGTTACGGTGTGCGGAGGGGGCTTTTATACTGGGGGAGGGCGCACGGGCCAGGCAGTTTAGGGCGGGCGACGAGAGCTTCTCGCGATGTTTGGTGGCAGCCTGCCATGATACTGAGGGAGTCCTTGAGCAGAGTGTAGATCAGCAGTAACGCACTCGGTTTCAGTGGCCTGGTGGTCTAGTAGTATGATTCCTTCTTAGGGTCTTTCGACATTTGGAGGAGGTCCCGGGTTCAATTCCGGGCCAGGCCCATATTGAGGCATACGTTGGTATAGTTTTATATGGCGATTCGGCGCAGACGAACTTTCATTTATTTGCCAAACCATTCGATATGCGCCATCCTGAGAGATTGACGATACCATTTTCTTCCATTGCTAAGAAATAAGTGGTCTGGGCTGTTTGTGAAGACAAGGGGCGTTACCAGTAATCCTCAGCGCGATACTCTACGACCTTCGCTCCACCCCTCTTCCTCCTCTCCGCCTCCCACCGCTCCACCCACTTCGCCATCTTCCCTCGCGAGGTCTCGCTCCCCACGTTCACCGTCGCGATCATACGGCCCCAGTCAAGCGACAGCGCAAAACACGTCAGCTCGAAGAACGAGCTGTGCTCCGAGTAAGGGACGCCGTACACCTGAAGCGTCGCCGTCGAGTTCCGCATCGGCTGCAGGTTCGCGTGCGTGAACCCCAGGCCCTGTGAGCGGGATATCACGGTCGAGATGGGTGGGAGCGTGTCGCTGCCCTTCGGTTGCGTGAAGCTAGAGACGCAGTCGCGGTATAAGCAAGCGTCTTTGCGGTGGAGAGACATGAATTGTATCGCTCACGTCCACCCGGTCGGCCTGAACCCAATGGCCCTACTATATCGGCCCTTCCAACGGTCGACATAGTCCTTGAGCCTATCAGACGCGATCACCCCGAGCGGCACGAGGTGTACCCCTGCGGCGTAAGCATCGGTCGTGAGCAGCGCGTCCAACTCTGGGTCCTCTTCGCAGCGCAGGATGGCCGCTTTGCGCGCGTCGCAGTAGATCTTGGTATCCAGCGCCTTCGCAATGGCCTTCACAATACGCTCCTTGCCGATGGAATACGTCCTGCAGGGAACTCGCGTCAGTGCGGGATGGTTTGGCAGTGCGCTGAAGACGTACCCAACGACTACGAGAACCTTGGTGGGCCCTGACGCGACCTTTTCCTTCTCCTTGCCCTTGTCGCCGCCATTATCCTTGCGTGTGAACCACCCGGTCACGGTACGAGGCTTCTTCTCTCCCGGGTCAACGTCCTCGACAGTGCGCCCTTGGACAAGACGTTTTGCGAGCTCCGCACAAGCTGAGATGACCAACGGCTGAGGCGGGAAGCAGTACTACGGCTCGGTGATCAGCCGCCATATCACGAGCTTGAGTGTGAGGGAAAATCTACCTTTGGATCAAGGTAAGTCGTATCGAGATAGACGTGGTCGAGGTGTTTGCCCTTTATCGCGGGATGAAGGATATGTTTAGGACACGCGCGGAAGTCTCCGCAATGCAGGTAGCGGAATACTCTGGGCGAGCCGACGAACGGGGACTTGTACGCGCTGTCTCCGCCGTTGACGGTCTGCTTCCCTTCGAAGAGGAATAAACATGACCCTGGACCTGGAAGGCACGGTAGTCCTCAGCCAGATATTCAGTGAAGTATGAGAGTGAAAAAGCTCTGCGTACAGTGGTTGGCCTCAATCAATGTGACCTCTACTCCACCGGTGTTCGGTATAACAGAAGGTACATCCATGGGCAGTGGGTGCACCCACTTCGGATCCACCTTAAGCATATGGATGATCAGGTTCGCCGTGCCATGCGAACAGTATATTGGTCCATGTTTCCAGTTCGCCGACAGGTTCGTGTAATGGTCCGAGTGCGCGTGTCTACAATGCGGTTAGGACGACGCCATAGCGCACAAGGAAGTGATAAGAGACGCACGTCAAGAAGTAAGCCGTGCAGTTGGGTATGGCACCGTAGCGGAAGGCGTCCACAGAGATGGGCATGCCCTGCAAGACTTTGTAAAATGGCGCTTTCCTTCTGTTGGCCCTGGTAGGCCGGAAATTGCGGTCTTCGACGGTGGAGGCTTCTTTCCATGCCTCGTTTTCCTTGTAGGAGGTCATGAGTTTGGAGAAGACGTCACCTTCGCAGCTCTCCTGCTTGACTGCGGGCTTCATATCCTCTGTGGGCCGCGGAGGAGTGGGTAGGGACGACAAAGGCCGCAAAGTCTTCGAGCTCGATGCTCCCGGCTGTATCGAGCCCGACGGGGCAGGCTCGGGAATGGCATCGATGCAGCGATCCACATGGTCGTGAATTTCCTATCATTTGCGTCTTAGCCATATCTAGCGGTATACTAGTCGAACATTGACATACCAGGGTGCTCATCCCGATGAGCTGTGTATCGCATATTGGACAACTCTCGACCGCACCTCTGCCATCACCCGAGGTCTCATCTCCCTCTTCCTCCAAGGTGAGGTCTATGTCGACGTCTTCGAAGGCTTCCGTCTTGACCTTGGTCTCTACGTCGACAAACTCTATCTCGTCGTCACCCATGTCCCAGTCGTCACCTTCGAGGATACCTTCGACATCGTCGATATCCTGAGCTGAGGGCGCGAATGCATCGGCAACAGGGACGTCTTCCGCCTTGCACTCAAACG